TGATCTGTCTCCTATCGATCCCTCTGTTGTTCAGATGGCCTCTCGCGCGAAAAAGGATCCCATTGTCTCTGCCTCTATTCCGCCGCCAGTTGATGTGGTCACCAAAGATGAGCTCACTCGTTTTAGGAGTCTATTCAGGCTCAGCTTGCTCAGGGATTTTCGTCTATTCAGGACCAGCTTCTTAAGACTTTGGCACAGTCTGGTCAGAAAGGGGGAGTAGCAACAACTCCAGATGCAACTCCGGATGCCCCAGCAAAAACTTCAATGATGAAGCAGCAGTCCACAACCGCAAGGCAAAGCGTCCAGCAATTCTCATGATAATGATCAGCTCTCCGACTATGATTATTAAGGGAAGTTTCCTTGAAAAACCCTTTTTGTTGTCCTTTTAGGACTGTTATTGTTATGATTATTTTCCTACCTTTTGGATATCACCTTGGTTATCTTTATTTTGTGCCTTGGGCTTGTTTTGGATAACTTTGTGTTGCAGGAAATTTCTCTGTTACAACATCTATGTGTTGCAACTTCTATTGTACTAACAGTATGTGATGCAGGGGGAGTTAATCATTTCTGCAAAGAGAGAAAATCTCATATGTAGGGGGAGTTCTTGTTAAATATGGATTCTGACCAATCTATGCCAAAGGGGGAGATTGTTGGCGCCATATTTCCGACTATTGAAGATCGAGGAAATCCGCCAAGTTTTGGAATTAAAAGATTGGCAAAGATTTGTTTTCCATATTTATTTTGGAATTTATTAGAGTCCTATTCTTATAAACTTCTATTAGGACTTAGATTTATTTCCATGTATTTCATTCTAGTTAGGTATCTTTTGTACTTATCTAGAATAGAAGTAGAAATCAACTAGGATTCTATTACCTAGTTAAATAGATTTCTTGGGGTTCAAGTTAGGTCTTAGGGCTTATTTTCGTGGCTATATAAGCCTCCAAGACATACAAGAACCGTGTGCATTATTTGGGAGAAAAACCTCTTCATAGCATCGAAGTTTTGCCAAGGCGTTCTGCGGAGCAGGACTGTGCCGTCGTTGCACTGTGCCAACATATACAGATTTGCTGTATAGATCTCAAGGGAGATCAGCCGCGTTTTCTGAAGGGAGTTCAGGCTTGAAGAAAGTTCAAGGCACGCGGGTGGAGCTGCTGTTGGAAGAAACACGAAGTTCGAGTTGTGTACAAGAACGGCATATTACATAAAGAGGGAGTCTTTAGTGTTTTTAATAAGTCCTATTAATGTACACTGTAAATCTGAACTAGTGAAATCGTGTTTGCAGGTCCACGTGGATGTAGGGCACATTTGTGTCTGAACCACATTAATTTCTTGTGTTCATTTATTTGCTTTAAGTAGTTTATAACTGTGTTAACACAAGAATTATAGTTGTAACTGAATACTGTTTCCACAACTTGACTGTTACAACTTAGGTTAATTGATTTCTATAGGCATATAAATCAACAATAAACACAACAAAAGTTACAAGTTCTCCGGAGTGTGAGACTACAACTTTAGATTTCGCGCTATGACCATAATAATCCATAAGCCACCTCAAAATGGAATGTATTAGAGATGCTACCTCAAGTCACCATTGGAGCAAAAATTTTAGAACATGTTATCTTGTATTCAAAACTCTCTAAAAGCTTGTAAGAAATATAACTCGAGAGAAAGTATTAGAAGTAGGTTATTGATAGTATGTGAACGCAACCCTAATGGAGTTTGATACATTTGTTTATACATATATATTTAGAGAGAGAATTATTTATGATTATCTCCTAATTTACAACCCTATCTCCATCTATGATTGCGATTGCTCGATCAACGATTCTAATCTACGTACTCTTTCCTTGACTATTCATAAAAGTTATCTCTGTATCTCGCCCTCCAACGATCATGAAACCATCTATCGTGCCTTCCCTTCTAACTTCTACCTGCGTTAGAAACGTAGGGCGAGCTCTGAGGCGATGACTGCTGCTTTGGCGAGCTCTCAGGGATGACTGCTGCTTTGGCGAGCTCTCAGGGATGACTGCTGCTTGGGCGAGCTTTTGACCCATTCTAACTATCGTGGCCTATTAAAGCAAGCTCTTGGCCCATTTTATTTTCGGAATCCAATCCGTCGAATGAACTTTTACGGTCTACTTTACTCAAATTATCGTCACAATAATAATTTAAAATGATAAATACTTCATTTCACCAAGTCCTAAGGCCTCGTTTGGTTGGGGAGATTAGCCATGATTAACTAAATAATTGGACTTCGTTTGATGTTTGGTATCCCAATAACTTGTTGGATCGACCCGCAAATATTATGTTATCATGTCTTATCTTGCTTTTTAGGCATCTTTTTTTATTGGATCTTCCAAGGTCCAATAAAATAATTGGGTTTCATTAAATTATTTAGTCTTATCTTGACTAATCTTGTCTTGGCAACCAAACGAGGCCTTATTATAAATTCAATTATAAAGTGATTAGATCCAAACAAGCTCAATCTCAATGAA